TTTTTTTTTTTTTTTTTTTTTTTTTTTGGGTCTTGATTTAGTTCGATTTAGAATTTTGGTAGTTTTCTGGTTGCTGTCTAGTTTTGAAAAATTTTGTTGATAACGCATTTGTTATTTGGACATGGTACATTCAAAGTCTTATTACTTTTCAATATTCAATATGAAAAAAAAAATTCTTCTGTAACTTCACACTTTGAAATGGACCAAAAACTAACCTGCCTTTGCACTCAAGGGTCAATCTCCGTTTGGCTTGAGGAAACCTTTGCACGCCTCCGTTGCCTTTTGGGAGGCCTATGCCTCATAGAAACTGTATACTTGAGATTGTCCCTTGATCCGTAGGTCTTGACACAAGGTTAAAATTCTAGCTTTTCCAGAGTGGTATCTCACCAATGGCTCGGGCCCCTTGAGAGGGGCTTTCTTCGCCTTCCACCCAAGCTGCATAGGAAAAGCCCAAAGCCAATCCGAGGAAACAGTGAAGCTTCATAGAGTCAGGAAACAGTAAAGCTTCATAGGGTCTTTCTGTCCAAATGCAGTTAGTCACTCACACTTTGTAATAGACCGAGAACTAACCTGAAATGACAATAACCCGAAATGACAATTGATTGGGGTGAGGAAACTTTCCTTTTTTAGGATACTTCGAGAACAGATTCGGTGGAAACCGGATGAGCCCTATAGCAATTTTGAATGCATATATGGTGAGTATAATTCAAATTGCAAGCAACTGTCATTTGAAATCAGGGTGGATATCATCTTCAACAATTTCATCATTTATGATCATCTTCAAGGTATCCATGTCCTGTTCTGTTCCCATATTTTCTCCCTTTCTGCCTCCGCAGTTGTCATCTTCAGTTATGTATTCACTCCACTTGGAAGGACCTCCTACCTTGCTGCAAGCATTTTCATCGTCTTTTGTCGACAGCGATTCCCAGTTTCGAATCTCATCTGCAATTTTACGACTGTTTTTGCTCAACTTTCTGGCCTGGAAAGGTGCAAGAAGTGTTATGATCATCTCAGAGTTTTACCTTTGGAGCTTAGATGATGCTTGGCTTTCAACGAAACTTTTTCATCATCTTCTCGGACGCCTTTACTCCATTTTGATGCTTGAATGGCTGAATTCTTGGCAATGTGTGTCCTCTTCGGGAAAACTGGTCTGTAAAATATTTTTCCTTCTCCACTTTCCGGCCTGTTTGAACAGCTCGTTGAACAGTGCTTCCTGGTTTTTTCTTCTGGAAGCTCCGTCACAATCTTTCCGTCAGCAAAATCACTCCCTGCTCTAGTAAAAAAAAATCATCTGACGAAGATTTTACTTAGGAATTTTTCAATAAACTACTCGTAAAAATGCATTTGAAATTCAGTGACCTAATTCTCGTTCGTTTTCTCTTCCAGTTTGGCTGCGATCTTCCTCGAGATCGAGGTACTCACTCCAATCGCTACGTCTTTTTCTCTTCTCGTTGAAATCAAGCTGATCCTCGTCAACAATTTCCTCATCAAATATCTCATCGACTTTCGTCTGTTCATCCGCATATTTCCGAGACATATTGAAGCTCTGTACGAACTTACGGACGTCTTTAGCCATCGGAGCTCGAGCAAACACCTTCTGCACCGATTGCTTCTCGTTGCAGACTGCACAGATCCACTTATTCCCGCTCCTTCGCTGCTGCTTCACCTAAATCGAAACCACAGCCATTACAGAAGTTACAGAGAGAGACATTGAAGGACAAAGAAGAAACAGAGAGGGAGAAGGAACGAGATCCATGCCTGCATCGTGGAGCATTGAAAACACTGGACGGCGATGAAGATCGTCGACATTCCTGCTTCACGGTACGCTTCTTCGATTCTAATCTTTCTTTGTTTCGAGTTTCAATCTGGAGCGATCGTTCTCAGTTCCGATTGGAAATTTTGGCGCCATTTTTTTAGAATTTGGACCATACGTATCTCTCTCGTGACCCATTTTGGGAATTGGGCTTCTTGTTTCTGGCCCATATTTACGATTATGGGCCTCCCATTTATTGGTGCTCCAAACCTTCGCGCTTAACTTCCAAATATCTAATTCTCCGTAAAATCCGGACATTTATTATATACTTGACTTCATCCCTTCCTCTCAAGTTCCTCGTTTGTCTCTTTTAATTTTATTTTCCTTTTGGATTCCAACATATTTTTGGGCTAAATACTAAATAATGTAAAATGGTAGAAATTAATTATTGATTTTTTATTTATTTTTAAATAATGAATGATTTTTATTCAACATTTAACACGTCATTAAATGATATATTATTTTATGGCAAATGACCCAATTTTTCTATTCTCGAACTGTAAACACTCCTTATGAATGAGACAGATGGAACTCGGTCTATTTACTCCTTCTTTCCCGAACTGTAAAGAAAGAAGCAAGAATGATCCTTCACCTTCAAACACTGAAAAAGAAGATGAGACTGAACTCCTCTCCCTATTTATTCTTTCATTTTCCAGGGTAAAGCAGCTAATCTAATTCATAGATTCTACTTGAACCTGATTGACCGAGGTAATGCATTCGGAAGAAAACTGGGGCAATTTTAAGCACTTTTGAGGCAATTTATATCCATTGGCCTAAAGTTTAATTTCAAATGTGGCAATAATTTTGAAAGTGACTTAGGGTTCAGAATTATGAAATCTGTTCCATGAAACTAAAGCTGTACAAAATTGGAAGGTTCAATGATTTGTAGTGGAAAAGAAAGAATTATTTGAACTTACATTGAGGAGTGCTTGATTAGAGGTTGGGAGGTTTTGGTCCATTCTTCTGGAGGACTCTTCACCTCCATCAACAATGCTACCACTTCCTTCATTGTTGGCCTTTCTGCTGGGGAGGAGTTCACACAAAACATTGCTATTCCAAGTGTTTGAAGCATTTCTTGCACCATTTGATCTGGTAAACTTTGGAGCTTTGAGTCGAGTATTGTTATCGCGGGTTCGAAGCTTGCCATCTTCTTCTTTACCCACTCAACAATGTGAAGGCCATCTCCAACTTGTGTCTCGATTGCACTACGGCCGCTTAGTATCTCTAGTAATACAACTCCATAACTATAGACATCGCTCTTTTCAGTTATGTTCATGGTATATCCGTATTCTGCATTGAGTTCAAGGAATTTTAGAAGGAAAAAAAAACTCATCATCCTATAGGAAAATCTGATAGATGCAGACAGATAAATCTTCCAACTTATAATGATGTGAAAAGCTTGACAAAATATGTTCATGTTGAAGACTTGTAATATCTTGAGTTCTTAATATGAGAGGAAACATCCAAGGAAAGATTATTGCAGTTTATATAAGATCACATTTTGTAGATTATAACACAGAGTGTTATTGTCCTTTCTGGACTCTCTTTAGGCTTCCCATGTCAATGGGAGAAGAGAACGAGTGCCAGCGAGGACGCTGGGCCTCCAAGGGGGTGGATTGTGAGATCCCACATCGGTGGGAGAGGAGATTGAAGCATTCTTTATAAGGGTGTGAAAACCTCTTTCTAGCAGACACGTTTTAAAAACTGAGGGGGAGCCCGGAAGGAAAAGCGGGGAGAAGAATGAAGCATTCTTTATAAGGGTGTGAAAACCTCTCCCTAGCATACACGTTTTAAAAACCCTGAAAGGGAAAGTCCAAAGAGAACAATATCTACTGATGGTAGACTTGAGCGGTTATATGAACACAGTGGCTTAACAAGTTTGTAAAATGACAAGTTGAGAAGGAAACATACCTGGGGCGATATAACCGTAAGACCCGGCTACTCTTGAAATCGCATGATGATAATTAGGAGCATTCATCAACTTTGCCAGGCCAAAATCTGCCAAATAAGCTTCAAACTTTGAGTCTAGAAGTATGTTATTGCACTTGACATCTCTGTGAAGAATTGCAGGCACACAATCATGATGAAGATAAGCCAGACCCTGAGCTGTCCCGACCGCAATCTTATACCTCGTCTCCCAGTCAAGATTTCTGTTTCCTTGCAAGAGTTGTTGCAGATTACCATTTGAAATGTAGTTGTAGAGAAGTAGCTTGACACTTCTATTGGAACAATAACCGATGAGCTTTACGATGTTACGATGTCGAATATGCCCGAGAATTTGAATCTCTGCAGCACAAGAGTCAACTGCTTCTTCATCTTGCTTTGTTTTCCATAGTTTCTTTACAGCAACTAATTCACCATTGGGCATATCTGCCCTATAAACAACACCAGAACAACCTTTTCCAATTATATTTTCATCTTTCATGGATTCCAAGATGTTACCTATGGAAAAGTTGAGCTTCTGAAACGGGATGAAGGTCCATGGATAAGAGAAGTCCTCGGCAGCCGATGCCGAGGGCAACATCCCTGAATATTTCTCGTCCATGTACTTTCGATTTCGTGAAACTAGCATCCACAAAGCAAAAAGTACGACGACAACTGCAACAAGAATGATCGAGATTAATGCAGCAGCTTTTGCAGACTTCAAGCCATTTCTACGCAATGAACTCGAGGAACACGTAAATCCATCAAGTGATTCACAAAGATTAAGGTTTTGATAATATGCATCTTCTGATAGTGTTCTAAAAAATGGTGTTACAGGCATTGGACCAGAGAAATTGTTGTAGGAGATATTAAGGGACGTGAGACTAGTCAGCTGACCCAACACTTTAATATTTCCTGAAAGCATGTTATGGGAAAGATCAAGTGACTGTAACTGTGTCAAACTCGATATCGACTCGGGAATTTCTCCACTTATCCCGTTCGAGCTCAAGTCCAGACTGATAGACAAGCTCTTCATGTAACCAATTTCTGGTGGTATCTTGCCAGAGAGATTGTTGCTACTCCAATCAAGTAGAGTTAGTTTCTCCAGGTTCTTAATAGACTTTGGGATTGACCCTGCCAGTAGATTATTACTGAGAATAAGTTTATTCAAATAACTGAAGTTTCCAAAGCTCTGAGGAATTTCACCAGTGAAGCTGTTCCGACTGAGATCTAGCTGCTCCAAGTTCACCAAATCCCCAAGCTGGTGAGGAATTTCCCCAGATATATAATTATTATGCACATCAAGTAGCTCAAGAACTGTAATATTAGCAATCTCAGACGGAAGACCACCCGAAAAACGATTCATATACAAGTCAAGAAAGACAAGATTTTGCAACTGGCCTACCTCCTTTGGAATCTTGCCTGAAAGCTGGTTTTCTCCAAGCCTCAATCTCACCAATGATTGACAATTTGCAACACTTGGAGGCAACCCACCAGATAAAGAATTTCCTAGGAGCAATAGCTTGCTCAACTTCTTCAAGCTGAAAATTTCCTCTGGGATAATCCCAGAGAGTTTGTTTCTTGAAAGATCAAGAGCATATAACTCAGTGCAGTTACCAAAGGAAGATGGTACAGTTCCTGATACAGAATTGCCCCATAAGAAAAAGCTTTGCAGGGATTTTAAATTGCCAAGTTGGGATGGAATTACACCTGATAATTGATTGTTATCAAGCTGAAGAGCAGTTAAGCTTGTGCAGTTCCCCAACTGCCATGGTATCGAACCCGAAATCGAATTGTCAGATAAATGAAGCTGTTCAAGAACGACTAATTTCCCTAAATCACTTGGGATTTCACCAGAAATATCATTCTCTGAAGCATCAAAAACCACAAGAGCCGAACAATTCGAAATTTCAGACGGTATCGACCCTGATAGAGCATTACCCCATAGAAACAAACTAGTAAGTTTCTGCAACTTACCCAACTGAGGAGGAATATTTCCAGTAAGCTTGTTCATGTGTAAATACAAATCCCTTAGCTCAGAACAAAATCCCAACTCAGGAGGTATAGAACCAGACATCTCAGTGTCATAGAGTGACAAAGTTTGGAGGTTAATTAGGTTCCCAAATGTAGACGGTAAGGCGCCGGAGAGGGCAGTAGCCGCCGCCCCAAATGTAGTGAGATTAGTAAGCAGCCCAATTTCTGGTGGAATGTCACCAGAAAGATATGGATTCCCTCCTATTCGAAACTCTTGAAGAGACAACAAAGAACCTAACTGCGATGGTATGGAACCATTAAACAGATTGTCTTGGAGGCAAAGACTTTGCAGAGAAGTCAGATTGGCAAGCTGAGGAGGAATCTTACCAGACAGTTTATTGGAATTAAGGAAAAGGAATTGTAGCGATGAAAGAGAACCAAGCTGAGGAGGAATAGGGCCATAGAGATTGTTGGAGGAGAGGTCCAACAGGCGAAGATGAGTGAGTAGGCCAAAAGAAGGAGGGATTGAGCCAGATACATTGGTGGAGGATAGATTGAGAAGCTGCAGAGAAGATAGAGAGGACAACTCCGGAGGCAAAAACGATAGGTTTAGGAACGTTTTTGGGAGAGATAATGAAATGACTCTGTTCTGAGGAGAGCAAGTGATTCCTTCCCAAGAACAAGGGTTTTGGCTAGATGGATTCCAAGAATCAAGAACAGAAGAAGAAGAAGATGTTGCAGAAGGACCAGCAGCCGCAATGAGAGAAAGAACCGCTTCTCCATCGGGAGAGAGAGCGGCGACTGATAAGCTTAAGCACATAACTATAAGGTACAATAGCCATCGTTCAAGAAATCGATGGATCGCCTCTTCCATCAGAGCTCTGAAAACTATCTCGACCTTGAAATCGAAAAAGACTAAGGAAATGTCGCTTCAATGGCGGATAAAAAATACGTGAAAGAAATGCAATGGCGGAGCGGAAACGGAGACTTAAATCGGACTCAATACAGCATGTGATCGAAATATATATATTATCCGAACGCAACCCCACACCGGAAAAAACTGCCTCAAATCAATCAAAAGCAATTAATGATCACCATCAAATGCTCTGTAACTCACCATGGACACTAAGATATCACCGAAACCAGAAACAGAGATATCGCCGG